ATGTATTAAGAATTTTTTGTTTTTCATATATACAAACATACGAGTATACTTACACGCTTATTTTATAACTACAATTTGTAATTTGTGCTCACCGTTATTAATTTTTGTTTTTGCTTTTTGTGTAGTTTACTGCTATTTATAGTTTTACTCGTAAACATATTAATACTTCGCAGATATTTAATTCGTAATTCAACATTCGTACAATTTTTTTATTGAATTTTTATTATTTAGTGTTTTTGCTGTTTTTGTAAGTTTGTGTGCGCAGCGAAAGAAATACGAGTACATCGAATTTATGAAATTCGTTTGTTTTTACAATTTGTTGCCAACACATGTGGTTAATATAATTAGTCATTACTTGTTTAAGTTGTTAAGTTGTTGTGGCGCGTTATGCTCTCTTCCTTTCGTCCATTCTACYGCACTCTAGCATTCTCTCCTCCTCACACTCTCATTCTTCAACTACGTTTGGCCTTGGCTCTCTAACGCATTCTCTTAGGAAGGTAATCACGTTCGTGGTCCTTGATAACGGCAGTATGATCTTCCCATTATATCCTCGGGTGGTATCGTTTGATCGACAGGCGGAACTTTTATCTGCTCCATACGATCGCGTACCTTCAGTGAAATAGAAGATAAGAACCGAAACAAGATTATGATTATAGCTGACGTTTTATTTCGACTGTGTGTGATGGTAATAAATCGTTTAATTTCAGTTATTATTATGATTGTTTATTTTTTTATTTTTTTGTTTTTTTGTTTTTGTTTTTTTGAATATAAACATCAAGATGTGCGCATTTGTTTGAATTGTTAATGATTTATATAACTACATATGCACATACATATATACCTTTACATATACATATACATATGTATGTATATTTTGGTTATGATTTTCTGTCTATTGATTGATTAACGCCAGTTGTTCCTATTTTTCAAAATACTCCCGAAACTTTCATTTTTTCTTATTCTATGCAATGCTACAAGACATATTCATAACACTTAACATTATCAAATATTGTTTTACTAAGAATGATTGTACTTAAATTACAAAACTTGTCCAAATATTACCACTCCGCTTGATATTTGTCCAGACTTGTCTTTTCCTTATATTCCACAAATCCACTGTACAGTTAGCTGTATATTCATTCAGGTGTTTTTTTTTTTTCCAAATTCAAAACTAGACTCCTCCATCTCTTGCATCGAGTTATTTATGATTAGACTGGTTCGGGTGCCTGGCCACTGCGGTATAGCAGGAAATTGTAAGGGTGATGAGCTTGCTAGGACAGGCACTTCAGTCTCAATAGCAGCGCGACGAGAACGGACTCCTTTGCTTGCTGTGGCTCCCTACTGAACTACCCAACCTTTGGCCTCCGACCAAATCGGCAAGCGCTGGTCAACTATCAGCAACTATGCAGTAAATCATAGAAGGTTCAGGGAGATCCTCGCTCTCAAAGAGATACACCTGGCAATGGTTGTAGAACTTCTAACACATGTTAAAATCGAACATTTTACCGAAAGCTAATTGCAACAGCTGTCTAGAAGGAGATGCGATAGAATCCTCTCAACGGTTTTCTCCTCGAATGGCCCGCCTCTGCCAGATTAAGGCTAAAATCCTTACGATATCATACTTTTTGACATCTAAGTAAAATAGGGTAAATAAAAATAAAAACTACAAGAGTTTTTTCATGGTCCCCTCAACAAAGTTGAAGGAAAGCCATTTCTTTCTGGCGATAGCCGAGAGCATTTCGAAGTAATGTTTTATAAAATATCTGAATGTTTCAGCTCATCTATAGCATAAATATGAATCAATAAGCAGCGATTGTTGACATCTCTTTGTTTGAAGAAAATGGTCCATGTTTTAGCCCGCAAGTTGGCCGTGCAGACGTTGGAGATGACGTGCGCACCGGAAGCCGCAGCAGATTAACAATTGATGAAAATGWAGAAAAAGTGAAAGCCTGCGGCATTACAGAACTACTGAAACGTGTTCTAGAAGGTGACAAAACATGGTTTTACGGATATGACGCTGAAACAAAGGCTCTCTCTTCTCAGTGTAAGCATACGGGCATGCTGAGACCGAAAAAGACTCTAGAAGTGCGTTGGGTGGTAAAGCAATGCTTTCTATGTTCTTCGACTTTAATGGCATGGTGCTCATGAATTACATTATTGTTCAAACGGTGTATAAGCTGTACCACCAACAACTTAAACACCATATTACCTTAAGCAAATACAGAAAGCCGAAAATTTAGGCTAGCAAAAATGGAGCATTACTAGGAAGAAGTGAGTTTGTTGAATTACATAATTATTGAGCATCAAAAAATTGATGCTAATTTTTCGAGCAAAATCATCCAAAGCGTTGAAGCACATTTTCACCTTGATGGGTTTGTCARTCGCTAAAACTGTCGCTTTTGGGGTTTTTAGAACTCACATGTGTGGATTTTGAGCTGTAAGTATAATTGGACAAATTTGTATTTATTTTCTTTTTTCTTTTTTGACTTGAATACAGTGACTGTYATTGAAGCAAGATAGCGCGAGGTGACAATCTAGTTTCTTTTACCCAAATTGGATGCTATTGATGTGGCCATGATGTAGTTTTAAGAAGACGGATCATGAAACACTTCATTTACTGCATGAGACTATCCAGGTCGTATACTCTCTCGTTTTGGTGAACAGAATCAGTATCTTAGAACGTGTAATTTAACTACATTAGATTTCTTTTTATTACATTTTTTTTTTATTTGGTTAGCATGACATCTGTCAAACATATTCCATAATCTTACAGTCACTGAACAAACAGCATCATAATTTTCTGTTGAAAATGTCAAATTTTGTACGGCAAAGAGAGCATTAATTTTTTTTTTAATTTGAAGAAAAGTGCAGCAGAGTCGCATTGAATGCTTGTCGAGGCATTATGGTGATCATGCTTTATCAGAAGCAGATAATGATTTTGGTGTGAGAAAGATAATGATTTTGGTGTAAGAAAGATAATGATTTTGGTGTCTTTCTCACACCACGAAAGAAAATCGGGGTTTCATCGAACTTCCGCTGGCGTTGAAAAGCGAATTTATTTTAAGAATCCTAAACGGAGGAAATCATGGGTTAATGTGGGACAACCATCAATATTGCCTGTAGAAACAGATTAATTCGGGAAGAAGGCAAGGCTCAGTGTTTGATGGGATCAGAAGGGGGCGTTACCTCATACGCTTCTAGAACCTGGAGAAACTATTAATATAATATATGCAATGCAGCTCCACACAAAGCAAAATCGTTTCAAGATACAACCAAAGTACTTCGCTTGGAGCTGCTAAATCCCCCACCGTATTCACCAAACTTAGCTCGATTATGGTTTGTGTTCATCGATGGTACACGCATTAGCTGAGCAGCACTTCCTTTCCTACGCGGAAGTCGAAAATTGGACTATATTCATGGTATCCTCAAACAGACAGAAAAGTGGACAGAATGTGTTAGAAGCAATGGTCGATACTCTGAACACATTTATTTTACTTTCCTTCTCAAAATTAGTAAATATTTTATTTTCACCAAAAAAACACTCATTTCTACGGTTCACCGGTATTTAAAATCACAGAGCTATTGCAACAAATCGACAAAGTAATCAAGGAAAATTTCGACAAACGAGTGCACATATCTATGGAAAGCCATGTAAACGGAAAGACTATTTGTCCGGTGTGTTGTTCCATAAATGATCTTATCTTATGGGATTCAATAAAAATTACAATAGAAAGACTAAAAATTATGTTTTCTATTTAAGTCTATTCTTGCTTTAATTTTACCATGAACTTTATATACATAAATTAAAGTACATTTTGACAAAAAAGTATCTGGAAATTATAAATAAAATTAAAMATATTTAATTCCTCATCCATATTTATTTTGTTGCCCTCAAACGAATCCATTTGTACTAATGRCTTTGGAAGTTCTCGAAACATTTTTCTTAAGCCCTTTTGAGATGGCCTTCAGCTCCTTCAGCGAATTTTGTTTCATCTCTTTGATCCACTGAAAACGAGTTTCTCGGCGCGGAAATTTCAGTTTGGGGAACAAGAAAACATTATACGAAGCAAAGTCTCGTGAGTACAGTGGCTGATCGATGGTACTCATTGAATTTTTGTCTTTAAATTCGATTACAATCGTACTCTTTTTGAAAACAAATTMAGTTTTATCGGAACAAGTCGAGCAAGAACGCATTTCATACACAAAATATCAAACAAAATCATTCGAATGGACACGCTGAAGAGGTCAAAGGTCRTTCAGAACGAAGCATGCCTTCAACGATGGCTCGACAGTTTTTGTAGACTTTCTCCCACTCGTAARCTTATAATTTTGATACAACTGAATCACCGTAAGCCTTTTTGTTGAAATATCTTTGCCCCGGGGACTGCTGTTACAATTTCCAGGTACTTTTTTGTCACAATTTACTATTAAATGAATTTAATTTTTATTCATCTATTCCATTATATGATTCAAAGGACACTTCACTGCTTTCTGCCACTAAGTGAAGCTGTTACTTTTTATTGAAGTAACAATTTTAAAAAGCAATTTAGATTTGTAAGCTGAACGCAAATGAARTTTTGAAATTATATACTTATAATTTTATGTTATATATGTTTTTGCTGTTTTTTTTTTTACGTTGATGCAAACTACCCACCCACGTAACAACAAATGTAAAGACATTTTTTTCAGTGTATTGCGKAGTATATTATATTAAATGCATATATTTCATATTTGTTTGTGGTTAGTTTACAGATTATATACTTTTATATTTTATACTTGGAATATAAATATTTTTGAGATTATATTTTCGCAAACATTTACACTTACATTATACTATGATTKTATGATTGTGTGCATAACATTTTGACAACCCTTTTTGCCTAATGCAGATTAGCCAGCACCAAGTTGATGAATAATTAATATAGCTTATTACAAACAGTTAGTTTTCTAAAAAAAAAATTTACTTATTAACACAGATTAGTTACCTCAACATTTTCGTAAACGCTGTTGGAAACTTAAATTATTCTCAATCAAGCAAATATATTTGCAAGTTTTTCAGCTACGTAGAGCAATCGCTTTAGTATGTGGAGTAACTAGTTAAGTAACTGGTTTATTAATTTTTTTTTTTTTAATAGTTGTTTACCTAACATTTTRTATGTATGTGTGAGTGTTTGTTGGTAGTTGCTTCATGAAAGTAAGTTTATATTTTTATAAATTTTCCTTCCTCGAAATTTTCTTTCCTTGCTTTTTTCCATTTCTTACAACRGCCAACGTCAAGCCGTTGAGTGCAAAAATTCAAAACACGCACAACTAGCCACGAAGTTCCACTTTACTCAAAGTTGAGTTTATTTTTCTAACACTTTAAAAATTCTACAACAAAAACATATTCTTACTCTTCACTTTATTTGCTGTTTGTTTTGAAGAAATCTTAGTTGAATATGTATTGAATAAAAATAAATCTAYGCCGCTAAAGTAAGTATGAAATAAACATGTAATACAGGGTGACACGAAGGAAAAAAGCTTTATTTCTATTTAACTTGCAAACACTTTTGTTGAAACCAAACAAACACACAAATTTCTGTGAAACAGGCTGTATATAGAAAGCAAAAACTAGCATTTGCTATCTCGGCTTCAATATATGTGACCTGGTCTACGGAAAGGGGGCTTAGGTGTCAAAAAATCTTARTTGATTCGGATGGAAGATGAGATGCTTTTTCACGTGATAGAATCCAAAAAGTCACAAACTAGTTTTCGCACGTTAGCTCCAATTTCGTAGACCAGGTCACATATAGATTTTAAATCTGAGTTCAATGTTAAAAAAAGCATTGGTTTATGGAACTACTTTATAAAGTAGAACTTTATTGACAGTCTAGTTTTGAACTTCGTTGCTTACAAACGCAAGTGGATTAAAGAAAAAATAT